AAAGGGAAGGCCCCAACAGGGAAGGGCCCGGTTACCCAAAAAAAAAAAAAAAAAAAAGTATTTCAAGATTGGTTCTTAACATGCTGTTTGACCAACTCATATAAAAGAACCCCCCCCCCAAAAAAGAGGGATTTGATATTGAGGCTTTTTGAAAATTTACTACTATGTTTATCTTAAAACAAAACAAAAATCCTAATAGAAAATTTCCATTAGAAAATAACATTAAAAGTGGCATAGGCTCCAGAATGATTTGTATATTAGAGGCATTCAAAAAAAAAAATCCATTTGAATTAATTTAACTCACCAAATACTGGGTGTCCAGTTCATGCAAGGCACTCTGCCAGATGCTGAGGAGGAATCTCAATTGAACAAGATACAGTTGTTGGTTTCAAGGCTAGGATGTGATAAGCACCCTAAGAAAGTCTGTTTAGGAGCTAAAGTCTACGGAAGCATAGAGGAAGGAGACAGTAGGTCTAAGGAGGAACAGAGAGAAGGCCTAGGATCAACTGTTACAGAGAAGCCTTGGATAAATAGGCAGAAATGGAGGTGGGGGAAAGGATGAAGAAAAACAAAATGATGTGAACAGAGAAAGGTTGGGTTGGGGTTACCTGCAGTGTATGATACCTGAGGAAAAGTGTTCCACGCCAAGCCACTCGGAAGCCAATGAAGGTTGTAAAGAGCAGGGATGAAACTAGATTAGAACTATGCCTTACAAGATGGCTCTGGCAGTGTTTAAAATGGGACCATGCAAAGAAGGCACTGGAATTAGAAGAAAAGTTATGCCAGTCACTGGGAAGAGGTAACAAGGACTTGAGCTAGGGCAGATGCAGTAACAGAAGGACAACGAAGACAGAAAGGATACAAAGGCAATTGTAGAGGGTCCTGTTGACACTTGGAGGCAGATTCTGGAGCCTAGAATGGTGTTTTTCCATTGCAGAAGAAAATATACAGATTTGAATGAAAAAAATTGAGTTTTAGGCATGTAAAGTTTAAAGTGCTTAAGATGTAGATGTCCAACAGGTACTTGCAAATATGGACTTGCAGGATGGTGGAAAGAGCAGGTCTAAGATCTGAGTTATAATGAGGGCACTTTGGGGACTTTGATTTGGAGATGACCAGAATCCTGTCCTTACTTTCTTCAACAAATATTTTCACTTAAAAGACACAGGGTAGGTATTTTGTGAGAAACTGACATATTAGATATAGTATCTGTCTTCAAGGAGTGGGCAGTGTAGTAAGAGAAATAGGATTTATCTCTCTGGAAGTTCCAGTGACGATATTTAACTACAATGGATCTCAAATTTCAAAACCTGAGTACAATGAAAGCACACTCTGAGACATATCAACATACGCTGTGATAACATTTACATTTTAACTAAATTACTAAATAGCAGGCTTTCCCTATTTCTAGATACATTCTACCAACCAAATATAACATATACCTTTGGCTAACAAAACTACACTTTAAAGTTGTCGTCTTCAATTAGTTGTTTCATTACAGCTTTATATTAAACAAAGGTTGCTCTCATGCTCTCATTTTAAAAAATGCTACTACATACTCAAAGAATCAAGGTTTTGGTTAAAAAAGAATTAAGTATCTTGGGCAAAGGACAATAGGAGGATACTGGGTACATTAGGGAACAAGGGAAAAGGTTGGGGAGAGGTTCAAAAACGTGGGATGATGCCAAAGATAACCTTTCTCATTCTCCTAGACTCTGGAGGGTCCTCTGCATTTACAGCTGCCACAGATAAAGGAGGCACACTGGTTGGAGACACGTACTAAGAAGGCCAGCCTTCCCCTAGCTTGACCTGGCATCTCTTGTCTAGGTTTCCTTCAGCATCCTTTTGGGCTTAACATTATAACTGCTCTTTTCTCCTCCTTATGAATAAAAGGAGATACTTGAAAAGGATTTGATGGAAGCACATGTATCAGTGTAGTAAATACAGTACTCTTGGGATCTAAGTACTATTTATTTATTTATTAAAGTCTTTATTGAATTTGTTACAATATTGCTTCTGTTTTATGTTTTGGTTTTTTGGCCGTGAGGCATGTGGGATCTTTTTTTTTTTATTTTTAATTTTTTTAAGGTGTTGGGGGTAGGAGTTTATTAATTAATTAATTAATTTTTGCTGTGTTGGGTCTTCGTTTCTGTGTGAGGGCTTTCTCTAGTTGTGACAAGCGGGGGCCACTCTTCATCGCGGTGTGCGGGCCTCTCACTATCGCGGCCTCTCTTGTTGTGGAGCACAGGCTCCAGACGCGCAGGCTCAGCGGCCATGCTCACGGGCCCAGCCACTCCACGGCATGTGGGATCTTCCCAGCCTGGGATACGAACCCATGTCCCCTGCATTGGCAGGCGGACTCTCAACCACTGCGCCACCAGGGAAGCCCGGCATGTGGGATCTTAGCTCTCCAACCAGGGATCAAACCCACACTCCCTGCTTTGGAAGGGGAAGTCCTAACCACTGGACCACCAGGGAAGTCCCTTTAAGTACTATTTATACTTTCTCCTCATTTATAGAATGCATCCAATATTTTTTTTTTGCTAAAATATTAGCTATCAAGAGAGGGTTTTGAAAGTAGCTTTACAAGAAAATGTATATATAATTAGGTTTCTCATTTGACATTGAATGAGCAAGGTTAAATAACTGATCAGCTTCAGTGAAGTTATGAAGGATTGATAAGGGGGAAAGGGAATGTTACTATTCCACATTTAAAACATCTTGGCAGGGAGAGTGGTTCAAGACGGCGGAGTAGAAGACATGCGCTCACTCCCTCTTGCGAGAGCGCTGGAATCACAACTGCTCAACAATCATTGACGGGAAGGCACTAGAACTCACCAAAAAAGATACCCCACATCCAAAGACAAAGCAGAAGCCACAGTGAGACAGTAGGAGGGGCACAATCACAATAAAATCAAATCCCATAACTGTTATGTGGGTGACTCACAAACTGGAGAGCACTTATACCACAGAAGTCCACTCAACTGGAGTGAAGGTTCTGAGCCCCACATCAGGCTTCCCAACCTGGGGGTCCGGCAACAGGAAGAGGAATTCCTAGAGAATCAGACTTTGAAGGCTAGCAGGATATGACTGCAGGACTTCGACAGGGCTGGGGGAAACAGAGACTCCACGCTTGGAGGGCACACACAAAGTAGTGTGTGCATCGGGACCCAGGGGAAGGAGCAGTAACCC